TCGTTCGCTGTAGCATAGGGGGTACTCGCGGTATTACGACTCTATCGGACCCGCACGCGAATCGACATCCGGGGGGGGCTGAGGTCCTAGGTGCGACTCGTCTCCGGTTGATTAGGACGCATCCCACACACCACGTGCACGCCACTACACAGAACATAATAATAGAAAAAGATACACACATACTTATACACGGAACGACACAGAACAAACAACGTGACAACACTCCTAGTCCCTTGGTAGCTATCCCACAACTCTCCTCATGCGGAAATCGGATAGGCGTCGCGCGCGAGACTTAGTATAAAAACCGCACGGGCGCAAGGTCTTCCCATATCGACTAGCAATGCATGAATACGCAAGTAGTCGCAATGATGGCGGACTATGTAGTGCCCATAATCAAGCGGTCCCTCGTGGATCCGAGTACCGCTTATGACACTCAAGTGTCAAACTCGAAGTATCGTGAAGGTCTACCCCTTCACGATATTGCACGACTGAAGGAATAGCCGTGCGGCCTCCGCGGCACCTCTGGCCTTTAGATTGAGTGTCTCGGCAGGCAGGGCAAATAGGCTCTGCGCGGGGGGAGATCCCTTCCATGTAGAGTCTAGGGCCTCGGATGTCCTGGACAAGGACCTTGAATCCGGGCTCAGGACCAACGTCTGACTAAGAAATCTTTAAGAAGCATACAACACATAGAGGGGTTTTCTTCCACTTCAATCCCAACCCCTATCAGGCCATGCTAACACCCAACATAGGTACATATGTATATACATGTCAAGGAGAATAAGTATGTGACGATCACTTCTCACAATCACTGTGAGATTCCTCACAGCCATATGTATGTCTATGATCGCTGACAGTCAAATCCAAAATTTGAACCCCAGAACATACTTGCAATCACATTAAAGAGGCAACCCAAAAGTCCACGCACTACACGAAGTCAACTTCAACGAATCTGTATACTCATACCCCTCGCTTTAGCCATGCAAACCCCGACCCTTGTCCAACCAACCATAATTAAATGCTCTGTACCTTTCTTAAATGGCCATTCAATAAAAGTCTGGGTGAAAAGCTTAATAAAACAACAGAAATCACCAGGGCTAAAGCCTTTTAGGTTGAGTATTGAGGATGAATTGGAGTTGAGTCGTAGACTGACGAATCGGCAACCAACCTAGTATCAGTGATAACAGAAGGTGATCCTTGTAAGATAAAGTTGAATCTAGTCCTGATTTCGAATCAAACGTTCAAGAGGACCTGTAACACAAGACAGACCAATCCCCAAGCTAAATCTATGAGTCCAAATCCAGAGTAGTCTCTATATCACGATTTCATCAAATTCATTATACTCAACTAATCCTGAGTCTATCCCTAAATCAGTGCCTAATGAAAAGGTAGGCTTTTGGCAAAGACTCCCCTATACAGAGTGGATCGTCAGAATTGTCACCTGTCAAAATATAAAATATAATCTAACTCCTCTAAACTAAGAAAATTTCGGCAGCACTTCCCGTAGGAAAAGTGTCTTCTCAAAATTTATAATAACCCAAAAAAATAAGACTTTAATTCTGGAAAGTTAAATTTTTGTCTACTCCCTGAATTTAGTAAAAATTTGAGCAGCACTTCCTTTAGCAAGGTAAGTTAGATATGAACTAAGAAACAAGACGTGAGTTCATCCAAGACAAAATTTAACTATCCCCTTAGATATGAACTCAGAAACAAGACATGAGTTCAACTAAGACAAAATTTAACTATCTCCTTAGATTTGTAAAAATTTCAGCAGCGCTTTCCGTAGAGAAAGTGATATTCCAAGATTTATACAGAGCTAAGTTCAGAATCTAAAATGACTTTGACTTGTCAAGGTCTAATTTTGTCTAACTCCTTGAATTAGCAAAAAATTGGGCAGCACTCCTTTTAGAAAAGGAGGTCTCCCAGATTTTTACTAAGCAAAAAAGTCAGAAAAACTAGGCCCTGAAAAAGACAAAATTTGACGAACTCCTTGGTTTTGTAGAAATTTCGGCAGCGCTTCCCGTAGAGAAAGTCGCTTACCAAGATTTATACAAGACCAAGTAGAAATAAAAGATCCTAAAAAATGTGGAAATTGCTCTAAGTAAAAAAAGCTTAGCCCAGAAAATGCAAGAATTGAAACTAACTCCTATGGCTCTAGCACGTGGCGAGCAACTAAAGCAACTACCTATCAAACTGATATTCAAACTAAGTAGTAGTCACCCTCAGTCACATGCAGGCCAAACCACAAAGGTAAGTACTCTCACCGTCCCCAAAGTCAAATTTATCAAACAATAGTTCATGGTGTCTCAATGATTTATCCCTTTATACCTAGCTTACATAGGACATAAAGCTAGACCACCAAACTAATGGAACATGTCTAGCTCAACCATGGAGTATACGCAAACACAGGGCACAACAACTTTTCTCTTCTTTGGGCATGAGACTAGGCCACCCTAGTTGCCATGAACTGTTCAAGTATCCAAGATTTATATAATTATCTGCCCTTAGTCTTTTGAGGTAGCATATAATTGAACCGATCATCTTTAGCTCTAGATTCAGTCTGCCCCTTCGTACCACAAGTTTATTCTTAATTAGTAGTTTCTTCAGTTGGTCATAAGCTATAGATAGACCACCCAAACTTATGGAACCCTGTTCTGACTAGCCTGTTCATAGATAAAATAGTAATAAAGTATAGTCAAGTTATAGCCTTCTGGTTCCAACATGTGCGTGGCGTTGGATCAAGACCACCCAAACTTATGGAACATGTCTTGGTCCTCAGCGTGGTTCATTTTTTTAAAACCGAAGCAGGAAGAGGCTGAGCCACCCAAACTTATAGAACATGCCCAGACCTCCTCGTTCAGAAACTGAAGAAACTGAAAAAAAAACAAAGTAAACAAGGCGACCAAGCTACCCAAACTTTTGCATCATGCTTGGTCCCTGAAAAGTCATTCACATTCAGCCCTCACAAGTCAGAGCAACCAAATCACCCAAACTTATGGAACATGTCTGGTTCTCTAGGCAATTCAAAAAAAATAAACATAGCACTGGGTCTCCCCAAACTTATGGAGACTTGCCCAGCCTTTGGTAGACCCAGTCAGACTCGAGCAATACTGCCTTCCTCCCATCCTTCCCCCAGATGCAATCCCACAATCTGCTTTCAGTCAAACAATAACATTGAAACTGATATTGCGCATACGTTCCTTTACTTAGTCTGGTTTGTGTGCTGAAAGTCAACTGAAAAGTCAAAGTAGGGATGCACACAATATACTCAGTCAAAACATAGCAAAGGGTGCAGATAAGGGTTATAACTAGGTTTATAGAAGGAAAGCAAATGTTACCTCTCAATTCCCTGCCTCTAGAACTCCTGAGTTCCGGCAGAGCTCCCGCAATCGGCGGGCTGACTCCCCACAGAGTCTTGCTGCGGTCCTACGGGTTGCAATCCCGCCTGCCGCCTTCCTCTCCTAACAGGACTAGACTTAGATTAAGAAAGATAGAAAGAGAAAGTTTAAGTCTCTCAGATCCAAGGAGGGTGCGCTCAGACTTGCGTGAGAGGGCCTTGTTACCTTCAAGCGCTTGAGGGCCCCACAATGGCAGCCTAGATACGCAGCAATTGATCAAAAAGGCAAATGTTTGTCATTGACTTTTTAACGATCTTTCAATTCGCATCAACTCCCCTTCCTCCCTTCAATTATCTCAGCTCTCCCGCAAGCTCACGATCCGACGGGTGCTTGGCCATAGGTGGATCCGCAACCTCAGGGCTCCCCTCCTACTTCCCCTTCCAGTAGCGGCTATGAGCCAGGTCTGCGCTCTGCTTCTGGCCTGTTGCTGCTTCGACCAGTTACTTCGAGCAGTGCGTTGTCCGACACGCGAGTACCCAACCTCGAAGCTTCCCTCCTTGCTGCTCAGGCTAATAGGACAGGCATCACACAAGTAAGTAGGCAGGCCCCTGCTCCGTAGCTCGCTCTCACCCATGCAGCTATAGTTCTTGCGAGGCCCCAACCTTCGGTCCTTGATCAACAATACCGCCGAAGCACAACAGCTGCCAGTAGGATTCTTACAGTTCGAACCAAAATGGTGTTCCACTTCAACCATATGTCAGCTAAGCATGCAACAAGGCAACCGAAGGTCAGTCGCCAACTTTGTTCACACGAGCCTTTACACGGCACAGATGCGTGTCTTAACCCCTTTTCTACTCTACGTCTTGTTCGGTTTCCTTGTCCATAGTGAACGCTGCCCCCCCCCTCTCTCCTTCACCTTTGCAGTCCTTCGGTCCTACAGGTGGTGGAGTATTCCTGCCAGTCCTCAAGCACTCAGCCAGACAACTCTCGTAGGCATTGCGTCAACAGCTGGGAAAACATTTCGTCGTCCCACAGGTCGCTTTCAATTTCGTCTTTCTTTCTTCACTCTAACTCGATCAAATAGGTAAGCCCATACTTTCCTCAACCGGCTCCTGGATGCATCGTTCGACTACGTACGTCGTTCCGGACAACAAGTACCTTCAACCTCCCGGTCCTCCTCTCATGACCTCCTCGGACTTAACCGCTAATCACTTAGCCTGAGCGTTCCATCGGATTCATAGTCCTTCTTTCAGATCTGATCCATCCGAGCGAGATTTACTCGCTCCTCCGAACCTCTCTCTCTCCCATATGCTCGTTTCCCAAGATGTCAATCCCGACGGGAGCGTGAGCATTTACCAGGCCATGATCATAGTGACAAACAACGGCATGCAACCTCGACCGATAGCAACACCGGGTCCCCACTACGAGCTTCACCAGATGTACACAACGAAAATGAATCTTCCCCTAAGAACTGAGAAGATACATTCATATTTACATGAAAACGAGCTCGCTCCCTGGGCGCAACCCCTGCTGGTTATACCGGCCAAAATATTACACTAACTCAGTTTTTGTCCCGACCAATCACTCCGCATCGCTGTGAAACCCCTACTTTACAACTTAGATCGGCAAAAACGGTCATGGAATGAACGGGATATGCAACCTCCCCTCACCATATCCTTTTTGTTACTCTCGCTCAACGATTATTACTAGTAACTCCTATTCTACCGACCCTTAAAAAATCTGGCTTTCAGATTCGAGGACACTAGTTCCTAAAACCTCTGCTTCGACCTGTGCTTTGCTCGTTTCTATTGAGAATTGAGTGATGTTTGGATTGTGTACCCCTTCCATCTTTCCTTCCGCCATAGCTTTAAGCACCTCCTATCTCGTCTACCCTTCTTCCTACAAGAATGACGCCAAAACTAACAGTACCATCGCACTCGCCCTATCTCATAATCCTAGTTTATCATGCTTCCCTTCCTGTTTTCGTCCGAAATCGGGCTAGCAATCTCCTTTCTCCCCTGCCTCCTGCGTGGCTTCGCCACACTCTGCTTCCTTGCCCACACCCACATGCACCTAGTGCCACTTCGCATCCGGGTTCACTTACTTCCCCCGCCTTCTTCCCTTGCTGCCTCCGTACACCCTCACCCTCTTTCGTCTTCGCTTCGGCTTCGCGTTCGCCAACCTCTGCCTCATACGATGTGTCCATCCCACTGCGCAGTAACACATTCAGCGACTTTAGTGACCCGGTGAGAGTCTTCGAGGAACGACTTGCAGCTAAACGGCAGCTAAACGTCTCAGGCAGCCCTGCGCCCCTATCCCAGATCCGGAGACGATCTGCTCAACAACTATCACCACAGCTCCGCCAGTTTCCTCAGGTCAGTCGTGCTTAGGCGGAGTCCATAGCCACCTCGGGCCCCCAACTGCAACTCGTACACACGGCTAACGAACTGCAAAATCGGGGGCGCGGGCCTGCTGCCCTGCCTACAGCCTGGGTGTGACGTGTCGCGTACAGATCATGCAGGGGAATTTTATACGAAAATACCCCGCAGCCCCTATCGTCGTGGGCCTCTCGACAACATTTCGGTCCATTATGCCCAGGCGCAGCCTTGCCTGTAGGATCCCAAGGGCATGCTTCACTGCTTTACTTTCTTACAGCAGCTCGCGGCTGATTCGTCGGTGACAGACGACACACCCACAAAGGTCCCTGCCAATCTAGTTTCCTCTACCTCGTGGGCTAAATCAGCCACCGGCTCGCATGTACATTGAATTCCTCGGTCCACTGTTTCAAGACGGACGAGGTGATGGAACTTCATCAACATCCACGACATGCGAGGGCCGACCCTCAAAAGAGGCGCGTAGTCAAAGTCCTTGACCGCCGTGACGGCCTTTAAATCCGGAGTCGCCTTTGAGTCAAGGAATGCAGACGCATAAAAATAGTAGTAATATGTCAATAAATAAATGAAATACTTAGAACTTTTAATCGTCACTTTACAACGAACAGGGAAAAATAACCGTTAGTACCGTTCTGACGCCGCTGATGGAAAAACCAAGGGGTCTATCCCCGTCGGGCCTTCAACCCCCTGGTCCCTTTGCGCTACTCTGATATCTCCGCGTCACCGCCACTCGATCTCGATCCCTGAGTCTTCTTAATAGAAGTCTGACACCATAACCAACAATACTAGGCCCATGACTGAGTCTTAGTGTTGACTGATACCTAAATAAGTTGATATTTGGCGACGCGCAGATCTACCGAAAAAAATCACATTGTTATCAATGTCGTCCTCTGTACATACGCACTGGTCCCAGGAAGACACCTCAAGCACGAGACATAATCTTATAAATACTAATTTAATCAGAAATATAAAAATATGGGCGGCGACCAACGCCGACTTTCACAATCATCAACAAAAAAGGATCACGCGTGCCTCAAGTTTGCGCGCCCACACACTCTCTACTTTAGTCAACCATCCAGTCAAACGGTAACCACAGACGCACCGACAGCTTACCCTTGTAAGGGTATTCGCACCGATAGCTTACCGAACCATATTAAGCGACGTCCCCGTCGCTTCACAGAATCAGAAAGCTATAAACCCTTCTAGAATCCCAAAGGTTGACGAGAAAGGAACCAATCCGGTCAGCCGACAGACTTAGCTTCGAGGCCTCCATCAATCCATTCCAAACACAACTTTATGCTGCCAGGATTCCAACCTGGGCCTCCATCGTCCTGACACTAGGACAGTGGGATATTCATCATTATACTACAACATAAGTCTTAAATGGATTCCTCAACTGTCCTCTCCCCTTTGCCCTAGACAAATGTCGGCTTCTCGTTAGGTGCCCCTAGTCTCTACCCTGCAAAGCAGGGCCATAACCAGGGACGCGGACCCTAACCGAGACCTTTGAAGGCATCCTTGCCTTCCTCCAACAATTCTCGCAACCAAAACCATATACATATACACAAATCTCATCATAGACTTTTCCTGCAGTCTAGTACAGGAAGGTCAGGTCTCCATCGTGGCCCACCATAGTCTGGGTGATCGTGCCAGATCTACGGCCCACCGCGTTGTTATCTTAGCGGTAGTGCCCTTGCAGGTTGTGCTACGATAGGCTTTCTCCTGATAAGCATTCAATCAGGACTCAAAAGACTCGACTTGACTCCTATCCCACGCCATTTCGCAGGAGAAAAACCCTCCTAGGTGGCCACACCCCTTTAAGTCTTTACTCCTTTGGCAAGACGTAGGCTCGCTGTTCAGGTTACGTCGACCAGCAACCGACACTAGGGGTTGCGCCCTAGTGATGCTAAACTTTACCGTTAGCAAGACGTAGGCTCGTTGTTCAGGTTACGCCGACCAGCAGCCGACACTAGGGGTTGCGCCCTAGTGATGCTAAACTTTACCGTTAGCTTGGTATTCTCATGAATGTCCGAAGATTAGCACAAGTGGTTGGTCGGTGTGTCGCAACAACACATGCCTACTGCGGGACTACGCGAAGGTCTGTCCCACATAAAAGGTATTTACCAGTCCTCTATGGGACAACACAGAGAAACACCGCAACCTCTCCACATTCACAAAACAAAATCACCGCCAGATTCACAAGGTCGTGACCTCTCTACTTGTTCAGGGCAAGAAGGTCACCTCTGAGTGACATCTCCCAAAATAATCCACACTTGCGACCTCCAAAATTCCAACAATGGCCAACCAAAACTTGGTCCTTCTCGTCAGACTTTATCATTCAACAATCAACTTGCCATGCCATTGACTCTATTAACCACCTTCCATATGAAGGAGTTCTCACTAAATAAGTCTCCCAGTCATCCTTTCTCTTTCTAGGATGAATTCTCATGCGACCCTTTCTTTTAAAACATCTCTCATCTCTGAAGATAAGTCTCTTGACAAACACGAGACTATCTTCCTTACTTGAGGATGTTTTAACCATAAAACAACTTAAACAGAGAGACCAACGTATGGGTCCCCATAACAATTCAACAAAAAACATTCGGCATGGCAAGCATTCGAGTCTCAAAGACTCATAAATCCCTTAGGATTCTCACACTCTTCACAAAAACAGATTGCACTTCCTCTCCTTATACGCGACCCTATCACCCGCCCGTGGGCAGATCGCACGAGTATACCGAAGAGTAGACAGTTCACATCCATTGACATTTCATGAAATATACAGTACACGAGATGTTTTCCATACATCTCTCACACAAAGCCATCATATATCAGGATAAAACCACACATGTGAGAGTGATTGTGATCGTCATATACAGGGGAATAATCTCGGATAAAACTTAACTCAAAAATACACTCAAGGATGAGATATCTCATCCAAAAACACACATAGTAACCCAAATCCATAACTCACTCGGATCAATCAATGTCACTCTCAATATGGTACATGGCCAACCGTACTGTTTAGGAACATCGCTGCGACAAGTACTGAATCTGAATGTCAAAGTCAAGGAAGAATATCCCCATCATACACACGTTATCTTACGTGATCCTGACTCTTATATCTCTAACAAGAATCTCAAATGGAAACATACGCTGTAATCCTCCATATGTGCGTAAATATCCGGACTCCCAAAAAAATGCAAAAACAAAAACAAAGATACAGTTAAACCTCTGCCTTAGTGTACATACTCTACTCATCCTTATGCTTTCCTAACAGTAATTAACACACAGGTAAACCAGTCCCTACTCACTCATCTCCTGCTGGTTTTGCCTATATAACTGAGCTCTGCCCCCATCGGCAGATCGCTCCACTACCCTACCCTGTCTATCATACATCTTACCCCCCCTCTCAGTAACCTTCCTTACTGCCTTGTCCTTCATAAATTTAGGATACTGCAAGGCCCTGTGCTCCCCATTTTTGCAGAAAAAGCAGGTCGGGTTGTACGACTTTCTTAGCCTCTTCTTCTTCTTCTGAGAGCCTGGTGACGACGACGCCTCACTGGTCTCTCTGCTCATCCCATAGCTTTGGGCTATATCTATAGGCTCTAGCTGTCTCACATCTACCTCCTGAGTACTCGGCTCCACTCGTACTCCAACTCCCTCGGGTTGGTACTCAGGCGTATCCAATCTCTGTGGCCTACCCTCAAAGACACCCTCCATCGTAACCGTCATCTCGCCTTGTTGAGGCTCCTCCACCCTTCGCTTAGGCGAAAACAGGCTCGCCTCTTCTTGCATAGCGTCGACTGCATAAAGGAGTATACCCATGGACCCTTCGTCTGATCCAAATGCAGGCTCACTGACTGCTGTCTGCGGCCTGTCTTCCACTTGTGGAGCCAGGGATTTCAGCATTGGTCCAAAAGACGTCTCAGGCTGGATAGCAAGCTCAGTAGACGTCCTGAACTCGAAGGCCTCCTTCTCTGCTTCTCTTTTTGCCTTTGCCTCTTCCGGCCCCATAATAACTCTCCCCTGGGGTGGCTCTTGAGAGGTCCCAATCACGGATGGCTGCCCAAGTGTGCCCTGCGCTGACTCTCTCTGATCGTCACGTCGACTACTCCCTGCCCCATCCACTACCTCGGCAGACTTCTTTCCCTCTGTCCTGTCGGCCCTGCTTTGAGGCTGTTGCCTCAAATCCTGGATGATGGCAGCCGGACTAGCCACCAAAGCTCTGAGCTCTTGGACCTCTGCCTCAACCGCCTCCAGACGTACTCCATGGCTCGCTTCCTTCATCTTCTTTCTAGCCAGATCAGCTTCCAACATCAGGTATCTATTGAAAGACGTCTTGGCCAGGAAGCGGATCCTCCGGTCCAGGTACTCGTTTGCCATCCTTGATGTCCCAACTCCTGCCCTCTCTGGAGTCGCCAACCCCTTGCCATGCTGGCCAAAGAACTCGTCCCACATCTCCTTGATTCCACATGGCTTAGGCGGTCGTGGCTGATCTGGGAGTGCCCCTGCCGCCTCTAATCTTTGCCTCTCCTGCCAAATCTCCTCAAAGCGTTTCCCAACTCTGGCCCGTTTCTCCTCGGCTGTCTCCCTTGTCGGTACTCTCCCTTTCATGCGAAGGTTCGCTCTCCCCGGAATCTCGGCTCCCATCTCTCCCTCTGGCTGGCGTGGCTCTCGGGGCGGCTCCATAGGTACAGGCTCCTTGATGTCAGGGTGTTCTTGGGCATGCGTGGCCAGATACCTGTCTATTGTGGAGGTGGCCTCTCTCCTCCAGTCTGTCTGTTCTCGCTCCATCTCCACCCTTACTCCCGGTGACAGGATTGCCTCTGGCGACGGGGACGGGATCTCCTCCTGCCCCCGGTACGACTTCTGGCCCCGACTCTGCAGCAAGCGTCTGGGGTGGAGTGTCCTCTCCAACCTCTATCACCTCCTCCATAGCACCTCTCTCGGCACTCTGCCTTGTCTCCCGCTCAGGCTCATGGACCTCCTCTTGTGGCATATCTCTAGTCGGCTCGTCCTGCCCCTCACCAACCTGAGGCACTCTCCACTGTGAACTATCCAGGTGTGCCTCCAGCTCCTACAATGACCCTCCAAACGGCGCCACCTCCTCTCTCGCGTGCTGGGGAGACTCTCTCAACTCCGCTCCAGTAAAACGCTGGAAGACCACTGGGCCTATCCCACATTCGGGGTATGCCCCTCGCTCCTCAGCCTCAGGTACTGACTCCTCCTCTCGCCTTGCGAGTGCCTTCCGTCCTCCTCGCGATGGCATGGCCTCTCTGGGCTCCGGGTCCCTCTGCCTCTTGCTCCTCATGCGCCTCTCAACCCTAGGCTGAGGCGGCTCCGACCGTCGAAAGGCCTCTCTCAAATGTGCCCGGCAGCTCTCCCAGTCTCGAGCCATGTCTTTGATTTGCCTGGCCAAGGGTCTCTCCGCCTTCCTGGCCCATAGGGGTAATGTCTGCGCCCACTCATCCCTCAATATGTTCTGGTTGTGCATGAATTGCTCGAAAGCGGGGATGCAATCCTCCACACTCCCAATCTCTAGGCGGATTGGCCTGCCATCAGGTCCCACAGGCGATGGTCGTAACTCCTGCATCCTCATCTCCACCTCCGGCCAGGTCCTTGCCTCCCTACGGATCTGTGCGATGGGTTCCTCAAATTTGTCGACTCCTCTCAGCCTCTCAATTGTCTGAGTCATCGTTTATCCCATATGCTCTGCGTACCTTCTGAAATCATCCAGAAAGAGCTCTATATCCCCGTCATCGTACACGGGCGTGTGCTCCCGATGGCGAGACCCATGCCGCTCATAACCTCCCGATGCTCCCAATGGTCTCTGTGGCGGCCGTGTCCCCTTGTGCGAGCCGCCTGTGTCACCCTTCCTTGCGCTGTAGGGGGTCTAACCATCATTCTAGACCGCGGGCCTGATCCCACTGTAGCTACTCCGGGCCGTCCTGGCATCGATTCCGGGCCAGACTAATAGAGGAAGACCTTGGGGATACCAGCCCTCCATCCCTTTACTTCCTCGCAAATGTCTACCCATTTCTGCTGGTATCTCCCCATCTTTTCCCACAGGTCTTCCATCTTTCCTAGCAGGATTGATGAAGGTTCCACCTTCTCTTCCTCACTTTCCTCCTCTGACTCAACGACTATGGGCTCTTCCTTTATATCTCCTGCCCGTAGCCTCTTAGTCACCTCCTCATCACTTTCCACTTCCTCCACCCTAATTGGTGGATCATCCTTTTCTTGCCACAACCTGAATGTGGCAGGCGGCGCTTGCCGCGCAGCTACCCTTCTTTGGGGTTCCACCCTTACTCCACCTGGAACCTTTCTGTCAATATATTTTCCGAACTGATCGTATATATCGCCATCCATATTGGAATAGATCAGTCCTACCCTTTCATCTTCCCGCCTAGTATTGCAGAACCGTATAGTATGGCCTTGTTTGTCACAATGTTGGCATATAGCAGTCCTCCAATCAAAACGGGTCCTCCCGCTTCCCTGACTCCCTTGATTTCCCTGATTTCCCTGGCCCTGGTAGCCCTGGTTGTCCCATTGACCTCCTCGGCCACCTCCATTCCTGCCACCTCCTCTTCCGCCGCCTCTTCCTCCATTCCCTTGATTGCCTTGGCCTTGGTTACCTCCCCCAGGCACACTTCCTTCTGAACTAGGTGCGGGCGACGGAGGCAGTGCCATGGGTTGGGCCTGAGCGGCGGGATAACTCGGCGACGGCATACTGGCTTGGGGCCCAACATAAGGTATCATCTGCCCAGATGGAGTCGAGCTTCCCCATGGCACAAAGGTGTTAAACATAGGCCATGGCCACTGCCCAAATGGTGGTACCGCCGCTTGTGAGGGTCCCGCACTACTTGACGGAGCCAACGCATTTGGCGATGCTATTACCACTGCTTGGGGCGCCTGCCCCTTTCCTGAGCCTTGCCCCCCCTGCTTCAGATTGCGGTGTTTGTGTAGCGCCTTCGAGAGGTGTTGGGGCACCGACTCCTCCTCTTCCCACTCTTCTTAGACGTTTTCCTCTATCACTGGAACTTTCCCTTTTCCTTGGATTGCCGTCACTACTTTCTGTTGTATCACCTCATCCCTCCCATAGCCTAGCTCTGCGAGCACGTCGGTGACAATCCTCTTCAGTCCCGGGGTTCCTGAGGCAGTCGCATCCCGTTCTTTTCTCATTCGCCTTTGCAGGCGCATCTGATGCTGCTCCACCTGGTCCAGACTTCCTTCTTCAACCCCTTTGTCAATAGTGGCCCAGGTGAGCTTCGCACTCCCTCCTCCATGGCTCGTCGGCTCGGACGCCTCCGAGGCAGTGAGCAATCCCAAGAAAATAGCACATTGCGCTTCCTCAGACATCCCAGGGACCTTCCTCGCCTTCTTTTTAAATTCTTGCACGAAGGCCCCCACAGTGGTGAAGTCATCCCTGTTCATAGCTTCTAGGTCTGCAGTGGTTAACAGGCCATCGCCCAGCCTGTACTTCCTTTGCATCCCATCTTTGAACCTGGCCCAACTACCATTAGTAGCGTTCACCACTTTCTCTACCTCCTAATGATGACCATGGACCACATACTTCAAAATCCGTTGAAACTTCACAGCATCAAACAATCCCACTAGCACTTGCTCCACCAAGTCAAGCCAATCAGAGACCCGTTCCCCATTGAAATGGAAGGTATCGACCTTGGGTACATTGCTCTGAGACTTTTCACGCCTATCCCCATTGAAATGGAAGGTATCGACCTTGGGTACATTGCTCTGAGACTTTTCACGCCTATCCAAAGCCTCGACCAAATCGTTGATCGTCAGGACCTTGCCGGTACCATCGGCTATGCCTCCTTACATCTTGGCAGAACCTCTTTCTCCAATTTCCCTGTTAAGAAAAATAAGGAAAAAAATTTCATTCAGCGTCCTAACTTATCATGACGCCAATTGAGCTTCCTAACCAGTTACTTAACGATTCAAACCGAATAGTACTACATATTCCTTCCCTTTGAATTCATCTTAATAGGCCCCATTTTTACCATAGGGTTTCCTTTACGGTCTTCTGACCCAGGCAACCAATCAAATCAAAGATAAAGCTTATTGCATTAACAATGCTTCTCCTATTACAATAACTTAGTACGTACTCTATCTTTCCCTATATGCCTATTTCTCCCTCAATCTTATCCCCGGATGTCGTTCCACCAGGGACAATGGTAGGCTTCCGTTATCCCCGGCAACGCCGCCACCTGTCGAGCGCATCGGTCCGACACCGCACAAGGTAGCGCAGGACCCTCCCGGTCGCGTCACGCAGGAGTTGGTCTTAATCCTCGTCGCGAATACAAGTGGAGCTTCTGCAAGCCGCTCCGGCCAAGTGCGCCAGCCATACCTCTCCCGAGCCCCTACGACAGAATAGGGCTTACACGAGGCACAACTTACCTCCACCTTGCGGGAGCTGTCACCTCCCTACGATGGGCGTATCCCCGCTGAGCTACCAGTCTACAGTACGAAAGCTAATCAGAAGCAATCGCAGAGGTGAGCCAGCCGAGGGTGTTTCTGTTTCGCTGTAGCATAGGGGGTACGCGCGATATTACACCTCTATCGGACCCGCACGTGAATCGACATCCTGGGGGGGGTTAGGTCCCAGGCGCGACTCGTCGCCGGTCGACTAGGATGCATCCCGCAAACCACTTGCACGCCACTATACAGAACATAATAATAAAGACACATATGCACATACTTATACACGAAACGATACAGAACAAACAACGCGACAACACTCCTACTCTCTTGGTAGCTATCCCATAAGCATGCGGAAATTGGATAGGCGTCGCGCACGGGACTTAGTATGAAAACCGCGCGGGCGCAGGGTCTTCCCATATCGACTAGCAATGCATGAATATGCAAGCAGTCACAATGATGGTGTACTATGTAGTGCCCATAATCAAGCAGTCCCTCGTGGATCCCAGTACCACTTATGACACTTAAGTGTCAAACTCGAAGTATCGTGAAGGTCTACCCCTTCACGATATTGCACGACTGAAGGAATAGTCGTGCGGCCTCCGCTGCACCCCCGGCCTTTAGGCTGAGTGTCTCGAAAGGCAGGGCAAATAGGCTCTGCGCGGGGGGAGATCCCTTCCATGCAGAGTCTAGGGCCTGGGATGTCCTGGATAAGGACCTTGAATCCGGACCCAGGACCAACGTCCGACTAAAAAATCTTTAAGAAGCATACAACACATAGAGGGGTTTTCTTCCCTTTTTCAATCTCAACCCCTATTTAGCCCTTAAAGGTGGGCCCTCTTAGGCCACTCGAACACCCAACATAGGTACATATGTATATACATGTAAAGGGGAATAAGTATGTGACGATCACTTCTCACAATCACAGTGGGATTCCTTATAGCCATATATATGTGTGTGATCGCAGACAATCAAATCCAAAATCCGAACCCCAAAACATACCTGCAATCACATCAACTAGCCAACCCAAAAGTCCACACACTACACGGAGTCAACTTCAACCAATCTCTATACTCGTACCCCTCGCTTTAGCCATGCAAACCCTAGCCTTTGTCCAACCAACCATAATTAAATGCTCGGCACCTTTGTTAAATGACCATTCAATAAAAGTCCGGGTGAAAATCTTAATAAAACAACAAAAATCACCAGGGCTAAAGCCTTTTACGTTGAGTATTGAGGATGAATTGGAGTTGAGTCGTAGATCGACGAATCGGCAACCGACCTGTTATCAGTGATAACAGAAGGTGATCCTTGTAGGGTCAAGCTGAATCTAGTCCTAATTTCGAATCAAACGTTCGAGAGGACCTGTAGCACAAGGCAGACCAATCCCCAAGCTAAATTTATGAGTCCAAATCGAGAGTAATCTCTATATCACGATTTCACCAAAATTCATACTACTTGACTAATCCTGAGTCTATCCCTAAATCAATGCCTAATGAAAAGGTAGACTTTTGACAAAGACTCCCTTATACAAAGTGGATCTTCATAATTGTCACCTGTCAAAATATAAAATATAATCTAACTCCTCTAAACTAAGAAAATTTCGGCAACGCTTCCCGTAGCAAAAGTGCCTTCTCAGAATTTATAAATAACCCAAAAAAATCAAACTTTAATTCTGGAAAGTCAAATTTTGTCTAACTCCCTGAATTTAGTAAAAATTTGGGCAGCACTTCCTCTAGCAAGGTAGACTTCCCAAATTTATACTAAGTCAAATATGAACTCAGAAACAAGAAATGAGTTCAACTAAGACAAAATTTAACTATCTCCTTAGATTTGTAGAAAGTTCATAAACAATACATGAGTTCAACTAAGACAAAATTTAACTATCTCCTTAGATTTGTAGAAATTTCGGCAGCGCTTCCCGTAGAGAAAGTGTTATTCCAAGATTTGTACAGAGCTAAGTTCATAATCTAAAATGACTTTGACTTCTCAAGGTCTAATTTTATCTAACTCCTTGAATTAGCAAAAATTCGGGCAGCACTCCTTTTAGAAAAGTAGGTCTCCCAGATTTTTACTAAGCAAAAAAGTCAGAAAAACAAGGCTCTGAAAAAGACAAAATTTGACGAACTCCTTGGTTTTGTAGAAATTTCAGCAACGCTTCCCATAGAAAAAGTGGCTTACCAAGATTTATACAAGACCAAGTACAAATAAAAGATCCCAGAAAATGCAGAAATTGACCTAAAAGTAAAAATAAAAAATCCCATAAAATGCAGAAATTGACCTGAGTAAAAAAAACTTAGCCCAGAAAATGCAGGAATTGAAACTAACTCTTATAGCTCTAGCACGTGGCGAGCAACTAAAGCAACTACCTATCAAACCAAAACTCAAACTAAGTAGTAGTTGCCCGCAGTCACATGCAGGCTAAACCACAAAGGTAAGTACTCTCACCGTTCATAGTCTCTCAATGATTTATCCCTTTATACCCAACTTACATAGGGCATAAAGGTAGACCACCCAAACTTATGGAACATGTCTAGCTCAACCATGGAGTATACACAAACACAGGGCACAACAACTTTTCTCTTCTTTGGGCATGTGACTAGGCCACCCTAGTCGCCCTGAACTGTTTAAGTATCCAAGATTTATATAATTATTTGCCCTTAGTCTTTTGAGGTAACATATAACTGAACCGATCATCTTTAGCTCAAGATGCAGTCTGCCCCTTCGTACCACAAGTTTATTCTTAATTAGTAGTTTCTTCAGTTGGTGATAAGCTATAGACAGACCACCCAAACTTATGGAATGCTATCTGACTAGCCTGTTCATAGATAAAATAGTAATAAAGTATAGTCAAGTTATAGCCTTCTGGTTCCAACATGTGCGTGGCGTTGGATCAAGACAAACTTATGGAACATGTCTTGGTCCTCAGCCTGGTTCATTTTTTTTAAAACCGAAGCAGAAAGAGGCTGAGCCACCCAAACTTATGGAACATGCTCAGACCTCCTCGTTCAGAAACTAAAGAAACTAAAAAAAAAACAAAGCAAACAAGGCGACCAAGCTACCCAAACTTATCGAACATGCTTGGTCCCTGAAAAGTCATTCACATCCAGCCCTCACAAGTCAGAGCAACCAAATCACCCAAACTTATGGAACATGTCTGGTTCTCCAGGCAATTCAGAAAAATAAACATAGCACTGGGTCTTCCCAAACTTATGGAGACTTGCCCAGCCTTTGGTAGACCCAGTCAGACTCAAGCAATACTGCCTTCCTCCCATCCTTCCCCCAGATGCAATGCCACAATCTGCTTTCAGTCAAACAATAACATTGAAACTGATATTGCGCATACGTTCCTTTACTTAGCCTGGTTTGTGTCATGAAAGTCAATTGAAAAGTCAAAGTTGGGATGCACACAATATACTCAGTCGAAACGTAGCAAAGGGTGCAGATAAGGGTTATAACTAGGTTTATAGAAGGAAAGCAAATGTTACCTCCTAATTCCTTGCCTCCAGAACTCCTCCTGAGTTTCGGCAGAGCTCCCGCAATCGGTGGGTTAACTCCCCACGGAGTCTTGCTGCGGTCTTACGGGTTGCAATCCTGCCTGTCGCCTTCCTCTCGTAACAGGACTAAACTTAGATTAAGAAAGATAGAAAGAGAAAGCTTAAGTCTCTCAGATCCAAGAAGTGTGCGCTCAGACTTGCGTGAGAGGGCCTTGTTACCTTCAAGCGCTTGAGGGCCCCACAATGGCAGCCTAGATACGCAGCAATTGATCAAACTGAAGTCAACTGTTTGTCGTTGACTTTTTAACAATCTTTCAATTCACATCAACACCCCCGCCTCCCTTCAATTATCTCAGCTCTCCCGCAAGCTCGCGATCTGACGGGTGCTTGGCCATAGGTGGATCCGCAACCTCACGACTCCCCTCCTACTTCCCCTTCCAGTAACGGCTATCAGCCAGGTCTGCGCCCTATTGCTGGCCTGTAGCTGCTTCGACCAGTTAATTCACGCAGTGCGTCGTCCGACAGGAAAGTACCCAACCTTGCAGCTTCCCTCCTTGCTGCTCAGGCTAATAGGACAGGCATCACACAAGTCAGTTGGGAGGTCCTTGCTTCATAGCTCGCTCTCACCCATGCAGCTATATTTCTTGTGAGGCCCCAACCTTCCGAAACTGTAAGACCTGTCCCAGATCAACAACACCGCCGAAGCACAACAACTGCCAGTATGATTCTTACAGTTTTAGCCAAAATGGTGTCCCACTCCAACCATATATCAACTAAGCATGCAACAAGGCAACCAAAGGGCAGTCGCCAACTCTGTTCACACGAGCCTTTGCACTGCACAGATGGGTGTCTTAACCCCTTTTCTTCTCTACGTCCTGTTTGGTCTCCTTATCCATAATGAACGGTGCCCGTCCCCCTCTCTCCTTCACCTTTGCAGTCCTTTGGTCCTACAGGTGGTGGATTATTCCTGCCAGTCCTCAAGCACTCAGCCAGACAGCTCTCGGGCCACTGCGTCAACAGCTGGGAAAACATTTCGTCGTCCCACAGGTCGCTTTCAACTTCGTCCTGCTTTCTTCACTCCAACTCGATCAAATAGGTAAGCCCGTACTTTCCTCAACCGGGTCCTGGATGCATCGTTCGGCTGTGTACGTCGTTCCGGAAAACAAGTACCTTCAACCTCCCGGTCCTCCTCTGTTGACCTCCCCAGGCTTAACCGCTAATCACTTGGCCCGAGCGTTCCATCGGATTCATAGTCTTTCTTTCAGATCCGATCCATCCGAGCGAGATTTACTCACTCCGCCGAAACTCTCTCTCTCCCATATGCTTGTTTCCCAAGATGTCAATCCCGACGGGGAGCGTGAGCATTTACCAGGCCATGCTCATAGTGACGAACAACAACATGCAACCTCGACCGGTAGCAACACCGTGCCAACAGGCAATAGCAACACCGGGTCCCCGCTACCAGCTTCACCAGCTGTACACAACGAAAATGAATCTTCCCCTAAGAACTAAGAAGATACATTCATATTTACACGAAAACGAGCTCGCTCCTTGGGCGCAACCCCTGCTGGTCATACCGGCCAAAATATTACACTAACTCAGTTTTTGTCCCAACCAATCACTCCGCATCGCCTTGAAACCCCTACTTTACAACTTAGATCGGCAAAAACGGTCATGGAATGAACGAGATATGCAACGTCCCCTTACCATATCCTTTTTGTTACTCTCGCGCAACGATTATTAGTAGTAACTCCTATTCTACCGACCCTCGAAAAATCTGACGTCAGATTCGAGGGCACCAGTTCCTAAAACCTCTTCTTCGACCTGTGCTTTGTTCGTTTCTATTGAGAATTGAGGGATGTCTGGATTTTTTACCCCTTCCATCTTTCCTTCCGCCATAGTTTTGCCTACAAGACTACCCTTCTTCCTACAAGACTGACACCCAAACTTACAGTACCATCGCACTCGCCCTATCTCAGAATCCTAGTTTATCATGCTTCCTTGACTGTTTTTGTCCGGAATCGGGCGAGCAATCTCGTTTCTCCCCTGCCTCCTGCGTGGCTTCGCCACACTCTGCTTCCTTGCCCACACCCGCATGCACTGAGCGCCACTTCGCATCTGGGTTCACTTACTTCCCCCGCCTTCTTCCCTTGCTGCCTCCGTACACCCTCACCCTCTTTCGTCTTCGCTTCGGCTTCGCGTTCGCCAACCTCTGTCTCGTACGCTGTGTCCATACCACTGCGCAGTAACACATTCAGTGGCTTTAGTAACCCGGCGAGAGTCTTCGAGGAACGACTTGCAGCTAAACGTCTCAGGCAGCCCTGCGCCCCTATCCCAGATTCGGAGACGATCTGCTCAACAACTATCACCGCAGCTCCGCCAGTTTCCTCAGGTCAGTCGTGCTTAGGCGGAGTCCACAGCCACCTCGGGCCCCCAACTGCAACTCGTACACACGGCTAACGAACTGCAAAACCGGGGGCGCGGACATGCTGCCCTGCCTACAGCCTGGGTGTGATGTGTCGAGTACAGATCATGCAGGGGAATTTTATACAAAAATGCCCCCGCAGCCCCTGTCGCCGTGGGCCTCTCGACAACGTTCCGGCCCATTATGCCCAGGCGCATCCCTGCCTGTAGGATCCCACGGGCATGCTTCACTGCTAGACTTTCTTATAGCAACTCGCGGCTGATTCGTCGGTGACAGACGGTGCACCCACAAAGGTCCCTGCCAATCTAGTTTCCTCTACCTCGTGGGCTAAATCAGCCACCGGCTCGCATGTACATTGAATTCCTCGGTCCGTTGTTTCAAGACGGACGAGTTGATGGAACTTCATAAACATTCACGACATGCGAGGGCCCGGTTGGGCTCTTCAAAAGAGGCTTGTAGTCATAATATGACAATAAATAAATGAATACTTCGAACTTTTAATCGTCAGTTTACGACGAACGGGGGAAAAGGAACCGTTAGTACCGTTCTTACGCGGTTGATGGAAAAAACAAGGGGGATAGCCCGTCGGGCCTTCAACCCCATGGTCCCTTTGCGCTACTTTGATATCTCCATGACACCGCCGCTCGATTTCGATCCCTGAGTCTTCTGTAACCAACAATACTAGGCCCATGGTTGAGTCTTAGTATTGACTGATACCTAAATAAACTGATATTTCGCGATGCGCAGATCTACCGACCGTAACNGTAACCAACAATACTAGGCCCATGGTTGAGTCTTAGTATTGACTGATACCTAAATAAACTGATATTTCGCGATGCGCAGATCTACCGACCGTAACCAACAATACTAGGCCCATGGTTGAGTCTTAGTATTGACTGATACCTAAATAAACTGATATTTCGCGATGCCTAGATCTACCGAAAAAATTCACATTGTTATCGATGCCGTCCTCTGTACGTACGCACTGTCCCAGGCAGGCACCTCAAGCACAGGACATAATCTTATTAATCCTAATTTAATCTGAAATATAAAAATCTGGCCGGCGGCCAACGTCGACTTTCACGATCATCAACAAAAAAGGATCACGCACGCCTCAAGTTTGTGCGCCCACACACTCTCTACTTTAGTCAACCATCCAGTCAAACGTTAACCACAGACGCACCGAGAGCGTGTAAGATGGCATACCTAACCTTTAAATCAACTTATTTTTTTGTTACCTGCACAAACCAGGGCGGGTATTCGCACCGACAGCGTGTAAGATGACACTTGAGTGTGTCGAATGCTACCGTCGAGATTAACGAGGGCCGCAAGAGTATGGGTACTACATAGTACGCCATCATTGCGACTGCTTGCGTATGCTTGCATTGCGAGTCGATATGAGCTAGCCCTGCGCCCGTGCGGTTTTATGCAAAGTCTCGCGCGCGACGCCTATCCGATTTTCGCATCAGAGAGTTATCGGATGGCTACTAAGGGAATAGGAGTGTTGTCGCGTTGTTTGTTCTGTGTCGTCTTGTATATGTGTGTGTGTGTGTGCGTGTTCTAATTTTTATGTTCTTAGAGCGGTGTACGCTTGGTGCATGGGATGCGTCCTAGTCGACTGACTACGGGTCGCGTTTGGGACCTCAACCCCCCTAGGCGTCGGTTCGCATGCGGGTCCGGTAGAGGCGTAAAACCACGCGTACCCCCTATGCTACAACGAACGAGAAACGACGTCGGTTGGTCCACCTTTGCGATTTGAACATGTTTAGCTTTCGTACTGTGGACTGGTAGCTCGGCGGGGATACGGCTACCGAAGGGAGGTGACAGCTCCCGCAAGGTGGAGGTAAGTCGTGCCTCGCGTTGGCCCTATCTTGTCGTAGGGGCTCGCGAGAGGTATGGCTGGCGCACTCGGTCGGAGCGGCTTGTGGAAGCTCCATGTGCATTGCGACGAGGATCATACCAACTCCTGCGAGACGCGGCCGGGAGAGTCCTGCCTTGCTTGTGCGGCGCTGTTCCGATGCGCTCAACAACGCAAGGATAAAGAACGGGCATAATTGGTCATAGGCGATTTCCTGGGCACAGGGGTGGACCGATTGCACACCTTGAGACATGCCACTGAACTAGAGCTTCAGGATGTCGACATCAAGTGACTACTCAAGAGGGATAGAGGGGGAGGGTGGATACCAGTAAACAGTTCAAGTAGTTATCATTAAAAAAATTACATTCTGCATGCAAACCCAACAAACGGTTTTCTTTTTATTTTTGATTAGCTAGTTGTGACAGACACTGCTAGCAACTGACAGACGGTTGTAGATAGGTAGTACATATTCCTCGTTGCATAGCACTCTGTCTGAGACTAGTTAGAAGTAGGAATAAAGTTGTTTGTATGAATATGAGATTACCGACTGTTATCAGTGTAGGGCATCACCCTGTTAGACTTTTGAGCTCGAGTCGGCTCGGCTCCGCCCACACTCATGCTCAGGGCGTGGAGCCATTCGTCACAGGGTCACCCCCACCTAGTGCTTTGAGATGGATGGGGGTGGGCCATTGAGCGAGAGAGCTTTGACATTGGGGATGTAGCTCAACTTTCTCGCAAGTAGGGCAGCTTTGCTATTCACTCGCAAACGTTCTTTTCTCGATACTTTGTTGTGTTCTCATGCAATTGCTCCTTCCAATACACAGGCAGTCTAGAGAGTTCTTTGAGACTTCTCTTCTCTTATGCGAGGCCAAGCGTCTTACTTGGGCCACCCATCCATTCACTAACACAATGGTCCTAGGGCTTCATCAAGGTGCGGGAAAGTCGCTCTCCCTCTTAGCTAGCTTACACACTAGCACTCATTATCTCCACACATCATGCATCATGTTCCTTGCTTCCCTAAGTACCCCTTAGTCTTTTCGGGTTCCCCATCCGCATACTCTAAGGGTTGGTGGCCGTTTCGACCGCCTGACACTAGGCAGCACTTCAACCAATACGCAACATCCCTTAAACTCCTTTCCATCCATACTCACGGTTGCACTCACAAAGGTCCCAATCATAGACATAGTTTACGTCAACGACCGCTTAGCCTTTTGTCCTTCCCTTTTCCCTTTTGCCGCCTTACATACCCGGGCTCAGTCCAGCTCAAGACATCCCAAGGCTACTCATCTGCACACTCGATCACAATGCAAAACAATACAACCCCACTTCGGGTCAACATATAGCCCGTCCGACTTGCCTAGTCTCCATGTACTTAGGCTTTTTCCCTTCTTGTTTCCTTCCTTTATCCAAGCCATTTTTTTCTCTTAGCCATGCAGTCGGGGTTCTGGTTGATCCAACTGACCTTTTTTTTCCTTAACAACTCTTTCTAGCCCTTCTCGGACTCTATCAATCGTCAAGCCTGTCAAGCTCTCCTCTTCCTTATCTTCTTGGTGGCACAAGGCGCAGACAACCCTCCTTTTCCCCTCTTCTTCCACTAAGTGAGATTCAAAATTCTGTTTCCGTTTTTACCCTGACAATGTAACAAGTGACTGAGGGAAGGGTTAGTTGCACGCTGAGAAAAGGGGAGAGAGGGTGAGGGTTGACCTTGGGATTTGGAAGCGAAGGAAGAGATAGCCTTTGGAGGCTAAGGAGGAAGAGGAGAAAGATAGGGAGAGAGAGAGAGGGAGAGAGAGAGAGAAAAACCCTAAGCCTACCTTGGGATTTGGAAGCAAAGGAAGAGATAGCCTTTGGAGGCTAAGGAGGAGGAGGAGAAAGATAAGGGAGGGGGAGAGAGAGAGAGAGAGAGAGAGAGAGAGAGAGAGAAAGAGAAACCCTAAGCCTAATCCAACTTACCTGCTACTCGCCCTATCGTCCTCCCATACCTCAAGTGCAACTCAACCGTCGCGAGCGCGGTACCCAGGATCCGGCACAGGGTGCTACCCCTCTCCATTCGCCCAAAATACCCCATCCCGTTTTGCCGCTCTTGCATACCCTCGTTGGTACCAGGAATTACCCGTGCGCACCCCGTTAGGAGCAATGGTCAGTCGTCCGGGCATTCACTTCCATCGGTCCGACAAGAATCAGCCTTTCCCAAGCCGTGCTACGGGAAGCTACTAATCGTCTCCGAGGTTCCACCCTTGCCCCGCATGCAGTGGTAATCCGCCGCCTATCAATAGGCTAAGCCCCGCCTAAGAAGACGTTTCGCACCCCGCCCGGGCAAGATCATCGAGCCATGCTCAGACCGCCCGTGTGAGAATGCTACTAATCAACCGGCCAGACAGACTCCCGTTCGACAGCTCGGTGGCCCGACCTCCGCACACGAAACCCGGTGAATCCTCAAAGAGAACGACGTTTCGCAACCCGCACCAGTCGGTGCAGACCCATCCTTTCCTTCCGAAAGGCAGGACGCTCAAATCCCATCATGCAAAACACAAGTCCCAAGTGGGACACATTTAGTACAAGTGCCTTTCCCTTGGTGCACCCAGGGCTTCCTACCCATAGCTCACAATTTTCTCTCAGGACAATGAGTGTCACTCCCCCTACTTTCATACACCGTGGTTGGTTCCTTCTCGTGAGAATCTTCAAGGGTGAGCTAGTTTTCCTTGGAGTCTAGCAACTCCCTTCATTTCCTTTCTCTTCATTTGTCTGTCCTTTCATAGGGAAGGATTGTTCCTTTTTGATGACCTGTTGTGTTCATGTTGGTTCCTTCAAGCATTTCAATGTGTATAGTGCATGAGCCCGCTGGGCTTAAAGAAGGGGAGAGAAGGGCACCCATTCGGTCGGATCACTCCCCCGCGGGATTTTCATCGGACCCCGGTCGAAGCCGAAGGACCAACCGCCTGCCAGGTAACCGGAGCCCTTCTTTCATACGAAGAGGAAGGGTCGACCTGCGACTTGCCCAAAGCTTCCCCGGACTGACGAACACCAACATCGGACGAAGGAGGGCTAGAGCCATCCCACAAGGAGGTGGCTAATCAAGTGCATAGCATATATGTTCTACCTCCAGGCCTGGCCATGCCATGCGCCCAGCCACCCTCAAATCTGATTCTCACGAGGGAAAGAGCAAGCACAAGTCCAATTTCCTTATCTTTGGTTGTGTACACGTCAATGCATCGGGCGCCCCCTTCAGAATCGTAAGGGTCAGTTTAACCCCATACCGGGCACCTCCACCATTTTTGTAGGGTCAAAACCCGGTAGACTTTCGAGCCTTAGTCAACCCCACTGCGGGTCCCAGTTGGCTCGGCCTGCCCACGCTCATGCTCAGGGCACGGGCCATTCGTCCCAGGGTCACCCCCACCTAGTGCTTTGAGACGGATGGGGGTGGGCCATTGCAAGAGCTTTGACATTGGGGATGTCGCTCAGCCCTCACGCCGGGTGGTAGTCTTGCTGGTCATTCCGCAACGCTGATTTTTTTTTTTTTGATTCTTGGTTATGTTCTCAGGCAATTGATAGTTCCAATACGCAGGCAGTCCAAGGGTTCTTTGAGAGTTTCTCTTCACTTGTGCGAAGGCTAAGCGTCATCCCTAGGCCTGTCTCTTATACACATCTAGATGTGTATAAGAGACAGACCTAGTGCTTTGAGATGGATGGGGGTGGGCCATTGAGCGAGAGAGCTTTGACATTGGGGATGTCGCTCAGCCCTCACGCCGGGTGGTAGTCTTGCTGGTCATTCCGCAACGCTGATTTTTTTTTTTTTGATTCTTGGTTATGTTCTCAGGCAATTGATAGTTCCAATACGCAGGCAGTCCAAGGGTTCTTTGAGAGTTTCTCTTCACTTGTGCGAAGGCTAAGCGTCATCCCTAGGCCGCGCACCATTTCCCTAAGCATTGTGATCCTACGGCGTCATCGGGGTGCGGCGATGCCGTCCTCCCCCTCGCCTCTACGCACCCATCGGGTCTCATTCATCTCATTCAACCCTATTGACGTAGGCCCCTTCGTCTTTTTGGGGCCTTTGCATGCATGCACACACAACTTCACATTTCCCTTGGCAAAATTGCACTCCATTCTCTCATTTACACTCCAAGTGTCAAACACAAAGGTCATTTTCATGGATTGCCTTAATGCTAAGGGTCCCGTAGCCCCTTTGCCCCTCTTCCCTTTTCCTTTTGCCGCCCGGTTCCTCCCGGCCCTATCCCGCTCAAGGCATCCCTAGCCTTCACTTACCCGCACAGTCCCACACGAAGCAAAGATCCATACAATCCCCCATTGGGGGTCAACATATAACCCTTCCAACATGCTTCTCTCTCCATGTTCTTTTGTTGCTCTTTGTTCCCTCTCTTTTGCTCAATCAGCCCATCCTCTTCTCATAGTCATGAAGTCGGGGAAATGGTTGAGTCAAACTGACCTTGCTTCAACTTATACTTTCTCCCGGATTCCGCCTCTTTCCCACTCTTTCAAACGTCCTTTTCCTTTGCCTTCTTGGTGGCACAAGGGACCGGCTACCCTTCCCTTTCCCTCTTTCTCCACCAAGTGAGGTCTGATTTCTTTTACCGTCCGCACCCTGGCAATGTAACTAGTGAGGGGAGAAGGGTTAGTCATATGCCAAGTGAGGGGAAGAGAGAGAGGGGGGAAGGCGAGGAGGGAGAGAGAGAGAGAGAGAGAGAGAGAGAGAGAGAGAGAGAGAGAGAGAGAAGATAAGAGACTTCTAATCCTAATCAAATCATCTCCCCGTAGTAGCAGCCGAATGCCGGTCACCCATCCCATAGTGAAAGATCAACTAAGTATGAATTGGAACACTTCAACATACATGAACTCGACAATGAGAAGGTTGAACTAGTGAGAAGTACGTGCACATGTAGGAGAGCGCAACTAAGTATGAACCGGAACATCACAACACACATGAACTTGACAATGAGAAGATTGAACTAGTGAAACCACATGCACATGGAGGAGAGATCAACTAAGTATGAACCAGAACACTACAACACATATGAACTTGACAATGAGAAGATTGAACTAATGGAAAGCACATGCACATGGAGGAAAGATCAACTAAGTATGAACCGACACAGTACAACACACATGAACTTGACAATAAGACGATTAACTTAGTGAAAAACACATGCACCTTGAGGAAAGATCAACTAAGTATGAACCGTAACACTACAGCACACATGAACTTGATAATAGTGAAAAGCACAAGCACATAGAGGAAAGATCAACCAAGTATGAACCAAAACACTACACCACACACGAATTTGACAATGAGAAGGTTGAACTAGTGAAAAGCACATGCACATGGAGGAAAGATCAACTAAGTATGAACCGAAACACTACAACACACATGAACTTGAAAATGAGAAGATTGAACTTGTGAAAGGCACATGCACATGGAGGAAAGATCAACTAAGTATGAACCGGAACATCACAACACACATGAACTTGACAATGAGAAGATTGAACTAGTGAAAAACACATGCACACAGAGGAAAGATCAACTCAGTATGAATTGGAACATCACAACACACATGAACTCGACAATGAGAAGATTTAACTAGTGAAAAGCACATGCACATAGAGGAAAGATCAACCAAGTATGAACCGGAACACTACAACACACATGAACTTGAAAATGAGAAGATTAAACTAGTGAAAGCACATGCAAATGGAGGAGAGATCAACTAAATATGAACCGGATGAACTTGACAATGAGAAAATTGAACTAATAAAAAGCACATGCACATAGAGGAAAGCTCAACCAAGTATGAACCGGAAAACTACACCACACATGATTTTTGTCAACGAGGAGATTGAACTAGTGAAAAACATATGCACATGAAGGAGAAATCAACTAAGTATGAACAGGAACACTACAACACACATGAACTTGACAATGAGAAGATTGAACTAATGAAGAGCACATGCAAATGGAGGAAAGATCAACACACGTGAACTTGACAA